CCGCGCTCTCACCAGCGTAAGATAGCAGTTTAACGCTGCAGTGTTTCGTATGGCGAGTGTAGAGAACCGGGGACCCTTTTTTCTGGAAAAAAGACATTCCATCTTAGTTCTCACGCATGACAACTGACAACGCATATGCATTTTGATTCTTTATTGAGGATAGATGTGGATGAAAGTAGTCCGGCAAGAAAACATTTTAAGAACGATAAAATAATGACAGTGGTTTCGCTTTATATATATAATAGTTTATTAGAGGTACACGAAGATAAGGAAATACCAAAAAAGAAAGACGTAAATCAATACAATCTGCGTTATAATGAAAAACGTGTTCTACCAATGAATAGATTAATCAAAGTAAAAAAACAAGGGCGTTACTCAAAAATATTCATGTATAATAAATTACCAAAAAGTATAACCAGCCTAAACTATAGCATATTTAAACGAAAACTTAAGTATTTTTTTGAAAATAACCCATTTTACAAATTAAGCGAATACATGTCAATGCAACTCTTGGAATCATCATTCTTGTGCAAAGTGCAAACAAAATAACTTACCTAATTCTATGATGCAAAGCGTCAATGTAACTAAATTAAAATACAATAATGTAATTAAATAATGTAATTTAACCTTATAAATTTAAGAACTTTTGTAACCAATGACTTGACTGTAACGATTGTTATATTATGGCCAATAAATATTTCTGATTCTGATTCTGTCTATGGGTCACAGCAACCACTTACCATCAGGTGGACTGTGTGCTCGTTTGTCACCCTATCCTATAAAAAAGAAGTTGGTTTGTATTTTATTTTTTCTTAAAATTATATTATTATGACCTAATAATAATTCTAAAAATAAACTAATTACTTAGCTATTAATAAAAACGCAGGAAAGCAATTCTACAATATATTATTACTAACAGTTATGGATATTAAAGGAACTCAGAAATATACAACTTTTTTTTCTTTAATTTTTTTGGGATTTTTGTCAAAATGACTTGCCAATTCCATCATACCTTATACTAATTACTGCTAACACTATAACAAAATAAAAATGTATAATTGAGAGTACTATAGTTAAATTACTAACCCAAAAATGAAACTTATACTAGATAGAGAAGATTCCGTCCTAGAAGCAAGCCGGAATAACCCTCTTGATATATTTGATTTTGGGTTTGATAAAACCATTTCCACTAGATCGACATCCAAAACATTTGCGTTAAATTCTTTCAACACAGCCTGTCTATCTTTTTCATTCTTGACACAGTCCATCAACAAATGGTAAACATATTCAATTTTGTTGCATACATCACAATTCGGTGAAGGTTTTTTTCCCATTAAAAAAGCGAACTTTGCTGATGGAGTATGACCAGAATATATATATACATATATATATATATATATATATATATATATATATATAAACTTGTAAACAGTTATTCCGTACATTTATTATAAATAGAGCAATGACACGTTGTTTGCAATCATTCCTATTCCAAGCGGCGCGGCGTACATCATAGGATATGTGAAAAGTTTAATTACCGTCATAAATGTAACAAAAAGCAAATCATTTAATCAAGGTGGCCTTGCGTGTAGAAGCAGCGATCACTCCTCTTAACTGATTTTCTAATAGCCCATTAATAATTAAACGATCGTGTGAGACGCCCGCGACTGCGTAATGAGTTGCGTGAAGTAGCAGACAAAAAGCATGATAGCCAGTAACGAGCTTAGAATCACTAAGACATCATTAAGTTTTTCGTAACTAGATGCGGTAGGTGAATGCGCTTGAACGGACGTACTATACAGTTATCATTACCGTCTGTCTAAATCTTGTTGCGACCATAAATGAATATTCTTGGAATATTGAACACCATCTTTCTAAATATAGGAAGTTAAACAACAAGTCTCATGCAGGAGCAAAACGAAACTTTACTACGAGTAGTTAAGATTATTGTCTAGACTCTAGAGGTATTTAATCTTATCAATAGGTACTATAAATACTATCCAAAGTTTTATATCGGTATTCCGGTCATCAATATTCTAATATTGCGGCCCTTTCACACACGTTCATATCAATCATAAAGATTAATAATTATTATAACGATTTGTACAAAAAGGAGTGAAGATGAAAAAAAATGAATTGTCTAACAATGACAATTCTGTCTGTCTGTCTGTTTGTAATGTCAAAATTACAATTTTTACTTAATGCATATGACAGGTATATACGGTATTTATAACAAAAATACAATTTATAAAATTTTTGTCTGTCTGTCTGTTTGTTCCAGCTAATCTCCGAAATGGCTGAATCGATTTTGATGGGATTTTCACTGGCAGATAGCTGATGTCATAAGGTGTAACTTGGGCTACTTTAATTTTATAAAAAGAATTAGGGTTCCGTGCAAATAAATGAAAACCCCAAATACCACGCGAGCGATGTCGCAGGGAACAGCTAATCTGTCATAATAATATTATTATATATAATAATGTCATCCAGACCGAATTTCCGGCGACCACTCTTAACGGAGATTAACCATATGCGTAGAACAGGATTACAGTGCCAGAGTGTATGCGCGAACACAGGTGCTCTCTCTATTCCCTCGCTCTCATAAGTTTGATGGAACCGTAATCAGACACGACCGGAGAGAGGTCAGGCGTGGACCTACAGCTTTACGTGCTTTCCAAGGCACGGGGGTGAAACATTGCCAACTTCCCGACTACTAGCAGCCCGCTACTGAGAATTTATTTACAGAAAAACCCAATTACTGATTTTGGTCCGACCCGTGATCCTAACGCATAACCTTACATACATACATACATAAACACTCACGCCTGTCACCCAGAGGGATAGGCAAGGACTATGGACTTCCATTTGACACAATCCTGACACCTCTCTCGCCTCCTCTACATCCATATACCTAGGCATACACTTTCGTCGGTTAAGGGTACTCTCAATTTGGCCCATTTTCAATATATCGCCAATTTGGTCGATAAACTTTCGCCTACGGCGTTCTTCCCGACTCTGCCGTTCACCTTTACAACATAAATTTGCTTTGCCACTCTTTTCTCATTCATCCTTTCTACATGACCAAACCACCGAAGCATTCCTTTCTTCATCCTAGTCACAACATCATCTTGCAAACCACACTTTTCTCTATCACACAATTTCTCACTCGGTCATTCAGATTCACCCCTAACATACTCCTTAATGACCGCATTTCTACATCATTTATTCTACTCTCGTGCTTCTTCTGCCACACCCAACTTTCACTACCATACATTAAAGTAGGGACCAACACAATATTGTGAATTGCCATACGTGTCTTTTTGGACGCATTCTGACTTTCCACAATAGAGTGTAAAGCTCCATTTACTCTATTTCCTGCGTTCACTCGTCGTTCAATATCCTTATCATATCTTTCATCCCTGCTAAATACACACCCCAAATACACAAACTCATCTACTTGCTCGACAAACTCTCCTTCTATCCTTATTTCACATATCGTTTTACTTTCTTCTCTTTCAAAAGCCATAACTTTCGTCTTACTTGCGTTCACTTTCATTCCCCTTTCTTTTAATGACCTGTTCATTAATGTAACCATAATTTGCAAATCGGCCGCCGACAACGCAAGTATGACTTGATCATCGCTGTACAAAAGGCATTTGAAGGTTAACTCACCCATTCTTAACCCGCATTCTTCAACTTTCAAATTTTCCAAACAACTGTCCATAAATAAGTTAAACAGCCACGGGGAAGCCACACAGCTCTGTCTGACACATTTATAGATGCCAAACCAGTCCGAGTAGGCCCCGTTGATCCTGACACAAGCACTAGAGTCCCTATACAGAGACTTCAATGTTTGCCACAAGACACCCCTGTCCACTCTGTCATAAGCCTTTTCCAAGTCCGTGATACACACAGAAAACTTTTTGGTTTTTGGCCAAAAACTTCTCCGCGATCATGCGCATAAAAAGACCTGATCCGTACACCCCATTCCCTTTCTAAATCCCGCTTGCGCATCCCAAATTTTTCTATCAGTTTCTTTCGTGACCTTATGATCAGTAAACGCGACCACTAGATCAACGAGCCATAATATAGGTATTATATTCAATACCTGGGTCATACTTGGGCAACCAAGCTTCACTCGGAGTTAGAAAAATTCTCAGGGATGATATCTATCTAAACTAAGTTATAAACTTACTTCTATTTCGTTTGCCTCGAATAATATTAAAGTCTAAATGAGGTAACTCCAGTGTTGTTTTATCATCATCATCATAACATAGGCCTCCTCCAAGGAATGCCGCAATGCACGGTCCTAAGCTACCTGCTTCTGTCGACCTCCTGCATGTCTTACCGGGTCATATATTTAGTTGGGGAGGCGCCATACGCTTCGCATATCGGTGCGAAGGTGCCTTTTGGGAACTTTTGCCCATAGGTTATCAATTCTTCGAACCATATAGCCGGCCCAGTTCCCCAGGTCAGCTATCACGCAGAGAAACCTAGCGACCTTGAGCCTCCCCATACGGCTAGCAATTAAGGGCCACGTTTTAGATCCATATATCTTTGGCAACACACGATGGTTACACACATCATGACGTGGTACACTCTTCATTTCAAGTCTTGATGTATACGTGACGAGAAGATGTGTCTGAATCTCCCGTTCATTAGCCGAGTCGGATCCGTCAATTGACCTCGCGGTCGAAGTTTAACTTACCTAGTCGAACAATTTATTCTAGGTAACACACTCAACAACTTGGAACTGTTTACGAGTGTGTTTACCTAGGATTAACTGGAACTTTGAGCTTTATATTCACTTTAAATAACAAGGCTTAGTCAAAACTTGTACGTAAAATAAGAACTTTGGAAATAATCAGTTGAGCCGTATGCTCGTTTGGCCTCTCTCCTATATAAAAAAAAAATCAGCAAGAAACTTTAATGACGTTAAAAAAAATTACAAATTTTTTCGCTAATATATTTTATTTTAATATATACTTTCTTATTCATCATCAACTATCATGGACCAAATGTATCGTCACATCGAATTGACCTTTTTCCAAATCGCAGGCGACTTGATAACTCCACGTGTCCGCGCCACTTACGTTATGAGACTTTTTCTGAAAAAATAAAAACCTTTCATTATTTGTTCTATTGCTTCATTTATATTTATACAGTTTTAAAGATAAAAAATCTTGTGCCATCCAACTTGTGGAATAAATGTCTAAGAATTAATTCCATCAATTACATCCCTTCACAAGTCTACTGCTAAATATAGGCCTCCCCCAAGAAATGCCACAAAACAAGGTCCTAAGCCACCAGCATCCATTGTCTTCCTCCATGTATTACCAGCACTTCACTCTACTTAGTAGGTGGCCGCCATACAATTTGCTTACCGGTGTGAGGCTGCCACCTTTGGTCACCATCAATTCCAATCACCATCATCATAACATTTTACAAGACCACTGTTGAACATAGGCCACCCCTAAGTGATGCCACATACCACAGTCCTGAGCCACATGCACCCATCGACTTTCTGCCTCTCTTACCAGTACCAGGTCTTAATTCCATCTAGTAGACGGCCGCGCTACTATCACTTACCAGTACGAGACTGCAACTCGTCAACCTTTTTTTCCCTCCAAAGAATCATCCTTATCATCATCATTATAGCTCTTTACAAGTGGACCAACTGCTTAACATAGGTCTCCGCCAAGGAGTGCCACAAAGCACGGTCCTCACCTTACCAGGTCGTCCCACTATCTAATGAGGGAGTCGCCCTACACTTAGTAGTCGTAGAAATTGTTTGCAATGTTGATCCCTCGCGGGTGAAAACATATCATTTTCGCTTGCTTGTAAATGTTCATACGTTCTATGGTGGCAGTACTCAAATTTCTCCCATGGTGTCGTAAAATGCAACTGTTGTTAATGCCCCGAATAACTTATGGTTTCCGATAGATGGCGGTATAACCACATTGTTTACGCCGGGAGTAAAATAATCACCGTGTGCGTGACGTCTCTAATCTAATACGTCTAATAAGTATGACAATTAAGGCAAATCCTTCCTACAACTGAAAAGGCTCATGTCCAGTAGTGGACTTTTATGAGCTAATAAAGGAGAAGACGACCATGGGTATATGGCGCAAGGTATTTTGTTATCAGTACTGCAAGCTCATTGTTCACTCTAGTCATAAAAAATCCGAGCGAAATGAGAAGTCCCCCTAAAGCCAGAGGTAAACTGCAATAAACTGGTAACAATGACAACAATGGATAATATTTGAGGATTTTCATTCCATTATTGTAGACTATATGGAGAATTCGAAGTGTGGTGTGATAACTACCTAGAAAGACCTCATGGCTTCCGATAGACAAAGGGAGCAGTGTCAAGGGTGCAAGACATCTGGCACCGCGTGATGCCAAACATAGCAATGAGGGCATCCACGACTTTTTCTGGCACCAGGGCGGCGCCAATAGAAAGTGAGATATATTTGACAGATTTCATAGCGGGGAAATTAATTTGTTCGGAAAATGTAAAAGTTATTTTCTTTTTGTACTATTAGCTATATTTTATAACATTAAAAATAAATAAACTAACGCACGAATATTTATAAAAGAAGAAAAATTAAAAATAAAGTTAAAAATGTGCAAAAAATTAAAGAGCAAACCACTGACACATTGTTTTGTGTATTAATATAAAACTTTAGAAACTGATAAACTTTTATTAAAAAACAACTTCTCAATTAAATTACATTGTGTAACAAAAAACTTTACCTCGGTGTCAACTAGCGACATCTGGTGAGCAGAAAATTATTAGCCCTCATTATGGCAAATCCTTCCTACTGTGGGGAAACGCCATAATGCCAAAGCACAAAAAGTGTCTATTAGTCTTTGGACACATCACTACTGCTAACAATTTGTAAAATATGTACTTTTAAGCTGTTCCGTTGCTGCGCAATAACTTGTACTTTTATCACTTTATGTGGTAGCACCAACAATATAAAGTTCATCACTGTTAATGTAGTTTTATTGAATACCCAATAACTACAACACAATACTAGCACCAACCACACTACTACTACAATAAAACACTACACTAAAATAAGTCTAGCTAATGATAAAATCTCTCACTCTCGGACTGTATCACCTAAATACAGATTACAAAGTAACCTAGCTAGGAGACTTAAAATCCTACCCATTTCTGATTGTTTAATGGTCCACATGATATATTGTGTGTCTTTGTAAAAAGTACGCAAGCTACTTTCGACTACTACACTACTATAGTTATTGACTAAAGCAAATTATACAAATTATTGAAGGCGTATTCTAACTGAGGCTGAGGCTTTATACTATTTTCGTTTATAAAATATTACTCTTCACACCTCGATATTCTCTCGTATTGTGAAGGCGCTTTACATACATAAATTGCACAGGGGCAAACATCCGTATTTATGATTATACGTAGACCATACAAATGCTTGTTCCATATAGGATTCGACTCCTAGCCACTCCGCTACTAAACCTTCGATAATGTTGATGAAAGAAATTGAATAGAAACACTCTTACAAGTATCTTGACCGCTTGTCTTGTATGCGGGTCCCAGTTCACCCGCTCTCCAACAGCCGGCCATTCGGTCGGTCCGCAACTGATCGATTTTCCGCCGATTTTCCAACAAGACCACAACACGAATCCATTAACTGGCTGAACGTCATCAACTTCTATGTCTCTGAAATTGTATAAACATGTAAACATTAACAAATTAATAAATTGAATAATTTCCTTCCTCTAATCAGCCCATAATCAGTCCACAGCAGGACTTGTGCCTCTCAGATTACGGCAGAGGGATTACTGATCGTTGCACCAGATACTAGCGTGGCAAGGGTTGCCACCTCTCAAGGTCACTACAGCCAAAATACCCCTCTTTTTCGATTTAGGGTCATGGCCACACTGGCTTCTTACAACGCCACTGGTGCCAGACATCTTGTGCCTTTAATATACTAATATACTAGATAATTATACTGCCATCTATGGAGGCTACATATGTCATGAGCCGGGGTGATTGTTTCTCCACTCAGCGAATCTTCATACAAAGAAATTATATTATGACCATTATGTAACTATGTATAATGGTTATAAGTCTTATGGAAACGGAAACCGATTGAAAAGAAAAAGTCTCAAGTTTCAGCCTCGTACTTGCAAGCCATTATTTCTATCAGCAAACAGTAGTGTGTACCAGTCTTCAGGTTGTAAGGTGCCAGTATAGGCTACACAAGCTGTAAGGACTGTGAGACATTTTATCTTAGTCCTCAACGGTGGCAACGCATCTGCAGCCTTCTTTGGTTGAATGAATAAATGCGTCACACGAAAAATTTTCAAATGACAAAATTTATTCGTCACACAACACAATGCATAATATTGCAAAAAACATAACTACTAAGCAAACAAAAAAATAGCAATATACACAAATACATTGATTTGCAGCACCAAAAATACATCCGACTCAGCATGATCCTGTAGCAGTGTTGCCACAGCGCTATTGTTCTGCCGGTGTCTCATATTACCGCACAGTTGTCGGACATATTGTTACCATAAAAAAATTAATAAGGAGTAAGAAAAAAACAGTGTTTTCAGTTTTAAACAGTGGTAGAGCCACGCGGCAGCTTTTGCTGTCGCACGGATGGGCCGGCTCGAACCGGGGTGGTACCACGACCTCACAGAAAACCAGCGTGAAGTAGAGGTTTATCTCTGCGTTTCGCTTGGTGAGTGCAGGTGGCCGGGGGCTCTTTTTACTTGAAATGAGGCATTCCATCTTAGTCCTCACGGGTGACAACGCATCTACATTTTGATTTGTAATAGAGGATAGATGTAGATGTCTATGGGCCGCAGCAACCACTTACCATCAGGTGGACTGTGTGCTAGTTTGTCACCCTTATCCTAAAAAAAAATTTAAAGTAAAAATTCAAACCAAATCATGATAATAAATTGCACTGACTGACATAGCTACAATAATAAATGCTCAACAAAAAAAAATGCCACAACCAATCTTTCAAGTAATGCATGCTAGTTGGTGCATCCCAGAAAAGGCCTGTGACCATCGGAGTTAAAATATTTATGATGATAATGATGATGGCAGCACAAACGAAATTTAGTGACTTACAATATCGGATTCGTCCCATCGGTTGCGAAAGTCGGTGTCAAGTGTTGAAGGTCGATTTCGAGTAACTTCCGAGGCTGACCGCGGCACTTGCACGGATACTCCCAGAGAGGCTGGGCTTCAATCTCCGCATCACTTATAAGGCGTGAACTCTGAAAAATATGAAGATATTAAGGTCTCATTGAATCGACGTAAAGTAGTGATCTCAGTATATTTGCATATATTTACTTGGTAGCCATGATAGCCACGTGGCCCAGCGACCGACAATGATAGTGGATCAAGGATCCTGAGTTCAAATCACAGCCTTATTCAAATCTGTGTAATAAAGACAAGATTAGTTTTAGGATTGGCAGTATGATTCCCACCAGGTTTATCATTGTTTAAATTTTGTGAGAATTATGATTGCCTTCGTTAAAACATTGACGTTAGATTTTTTTTGGGTAAATTACATAAAAAAGTTCCTAAAAGTTAATTGGTAACTCTAAAGAAGTCTAATCGCCAAGATATTTAAAAGAATTGTATATAATCAATTATATCTCAACTTGGGGAGTGCTTTCAACCGGGATGGAAGATGTGATTTAGATGTGGACAGGCGTGTCGCTACCAGGAACAAAGTCAATGGTGCCCTAACTGCGTTAGTCAAAAGGCAAGGCGTAGTGAAGAGTGCACGCCTTGCAATACATAACGCAGTGTTGGTACCGACTTTGTTATATGGCAGCGAAACCTGGGTATGCCAGAAGAAGCATAAAAGTAAGTTGAATGCAGTGGAGATGCGATCTCTTCGTAAAATGTGCGGCGTTACCATAGCCGACCGAAAGCGAAACGAAGAGATTCGCAATATGGCAGGTTTGAAAGATGACCTTATCACAAAAATTGATAAGGGCGTGCTTCGATGGTTTGGGCACGTTGAGCGAATGAGTGAAGACCGAATGGTGAAGAAAATATATAGCGCGAAAGTAAATATTAAAAGTTGTCGAGGTAGACCGAGACTAACTTTCGAAGACCATGTGAGCAAATTGCTCGAAGACGGGAGGGTTAAAAGTACTCGGATACCTAGACGTGCATGTATGAAGAAGATAATGAATCTGAAAGAAGCGAAAGAGGTATGTAAGGATCGTGACACTTGGCGATCTGTTCTCTCTGGCTACCCCGTCAGGGATTGTGCGTGAAGATAAGTAAGTATATCTCAACGGCATATTTTATTACTCATAATATGGGCAAAGGGAAACAAGTCTTTGCAAGTGATTCACGGACTTAAGCAAAGCATTCGAATGCATTGACCATTCAAAATGTTTACAAAAGTTATCACGTTGAAAAGTACTAAAGACGATCTCTTTAAACGATATATACTGTATTTTTAACATTCATTTTGCTGAATATATGTCCCACCTGGCGTTCCTCAGGGTTATCTTTTTGGCCCTCTGCTCTTTGTCATAGATATTGCAAAATACTTTTCGAATTCTGATTTTCTGCTCTTATCCTAATGAAATGAAAGTTTTCGAAGTGGTAAGCCATTCTTCTCACGAAAATTCTCTTACAAAAACAATCTTGTTAACTTATATAATTATTAAATCCGTAACAAATTAGGGTTAATCAGATCGAAATGTAATGTAATACAATGTATATCTTTTGGATGGAAAGGTGATATACCAGATTTTACATAATAGACTTGAAAGCCAGGCACTTATCAGCTGTAATAAAATGAAAGACCTTCGTATTACTATTGATAACTTTTATTTGTTTCATTTCCTTGTTGCCCTTTTACGACACCCACGAGATAATAATATGGAACAGTGAATTCACTTTCGCCCACTACACGACACTGTACGGCACGGTTGAAATCAAAGGACATGTGAAATTCACCAAAATCAATGTCTTATTGCTCCATAACCCTCTCAGGTAAATGAGAGGGTTATATTTAGTCATAATTAATCAAAAGAAACAAACCACAAATCAGAACTCCCTAAATGGAAAAGAATTAATTTTTTCAAAATATAAGATATTAAAACCATTCTGAAAATAGTTCTTACCTCTACAAGACTATCAAATACAGTCATGTCAATTCCCTCACAGACATCCAAAGGTATCCTTATCTTGTGTAAATCCTGAAATTCGACAGGCATAGCCCAAAATTCACATCCTTCTGGAATAATGGATATTGTCTCTCGCAATTTACTTTTGTATTTATATAAAAGGTAAGCAACTTTAAGATTCTCCCATGGAAGAACAGCTGTGCTGAAATTTGGATCACAAGTTATATTTGTGACCTCTTTAAAAATCTCATCACTCAAATCTGATAAAATCGTCACATTATCTAAGTTGTTCTCTTTGATGTAATCATTTAGAATTCCTATGTTCAAATTCATATTCTCTACGATGTACACATGTTTTGCGCCGAGTTTAGCAGAAGCCAAACCCATGAAACTGCTTCCATTTAAATCTAGAACTATAGCATCTTTAACTAATTCTTCTTTCAGCTGTGATAAAAATTTCTTACTCCTTCTTCCATCATTCAAATAAGAAACATGAGTTCTTGATAATATCATATGCACACCACATTCACAAACTGGTCTTTTATAGTTTTTATATTTGGTCTTTCCGTCTTCTAAATAGAACCAAAGCGAATAATCATCTTGACAAGAAATAAGGGTTACTTCAGTGTCATTTTGAACTGATATTTCTTGAGGGAGGTAATATACAGCCTGCATCCAATGATCACGCCAAGGTATAGAATCTTGAGGCCTTTCGGAAGATAAATCTGCATCAGGGTGACTCCACCATGGAGCACAACTTAGCACTATTTTACCTGTAAAAGGTTATGTAAACAATTATGAAAGAGAGAGAAGAGCATCATCTTCTGCCCGATTTTACCACTAGCTATTGTGGGATAAAATATCGAAATGAATGTCAAGCAAGTAAAAAGAAAGTTATTGGAGTGATTAACTAATCTATACAAATAAATAAAATTGAGATGTCTGTTTGTAATGTTAAAATAACAGTTTTTTTAATAAATGCATATGAAAGTATATACGGTACTAATAACAAAAAAACAATTTTTAAAATTTTTGTTAGTCTGTCTGTCTTGTATGTCTGTCGGTTTCTTCCGGTTAATCTCCGAAACGGCTGGACCGATTATGACGAGATTTTTACAGGCAGATAGCTGATGTTATAAGAATTAGGGTCCGCGCAAAAATTAGAACCCATGAAATCGTAATAAATTCTACGCGGACAAAGTCGCGAGGAACAGCTAGCAATTAATAAAATATCAAGTATGTCAAAGTTTGCTTCAAACAAGCGCTATATTGTTTTTGCGAGCTATTTATATATATATATATATATATATATATATACATAAATTATTACTTTCGAGCCAATTTACTGTAGATGTAACAGTACTGTTAACTTTGAGTTCATAATCTAAAGGCTTTTCTTTACCTGTTATTATAACTGATATATCGTCGGTATATAGAGTGCAATGTTGATCGATTACCAATGGAAGGTCATTAATATACAAAATAAAAAGTAAAGGACCAAGAATTGTACCCTGTGGCACATCTTTTGTGGTGGGTTGAAAGTTAGAGTTATGTGTGACTCGTTCGTTAAATTCATTTATTCTAGCGATTTGAACGCATTGGGTTCTGTTATTTAAATAGGATTTTATCCGCTGGAATGCAAGCCATCTTATGCCATATTTTTGAATTTTACTAAACAAAAGCTCATGATTTACAAAATCAAATGCTTTACTCATATCGAAAAAGACACCAGTAACTTTCATACCTTTGTCAATGTTTTCCGTTACGTGTTGAATTAGTGCGTAAGCAGCTAGTGTTGTTGATTTTTCTTTTTGAAAACCGTTTTGTTCCTCCCGTAAAATTTTATATTTATTTAGGAAACTATTAAGTCTAGTATGCATGGTTTTTTCAAATATTTTAGCTAATAGTGGGATAAGAGCAATAGGTCTATAGTTGTTAACTTCTTTTTAGTCGCCTGCTTTATGGATTGCTTTAATTACAGAGATTTTAAGTTTGTTTGGAAATATTCCGTATTCAAATGATATGTTAATAATATAAGAAAGAACTGGAGATATCAAATCAGCACACAACTTTAAGATTTTTGTAGAAATTCCATCATAACCCACCGAATTTGTATCATTTAGTCCTTGTATAATTTTTTTAATTTCTTTAACGGAGCAGGGTTGCAAAAATATACTGTTATTTATAAAATTTAACTTTTTTAATAAAATAAATTATCGTTTTGATTCGTTCTATTTGTCAAATTTGTAAAGAAGCTGTTAAAGATATTTGCGATTTCTTGGGGATCCTGAATCAATCTTTCGTTATTGTAAATCGAATTAATGTCTAAATTTCTCCGTAAGTCATTTGAGGAGTCTTTGATTATATACTTTATATATTACTTTTATTATTGTATGTACGAGAATATCTTTTCCTTTCGCTCGAGCAAACCCAAACGGCTTTTTCCAAAGCCACCGAAGGTATGCATGCTTATGTGTGCTTTGTTAAACACGTCCTCGACAGCACCGAATATGAAACTGACGGGTGGAGACAGATCAAGATTGGTGTATTTTTATAAAACTGCCAAAAACAACAAAACCATATCTTGGGCTTGCCCTAGTTTGGAGCCCTAGTTTCGCCACTGCCGAAACGTAATCAGTAGAGAGAGGCGACTGTGTCTACGAAAGGCCTTATAGAATATAGAATATATATAGATTATAGTATAGCCTTGTAGAACCTCCCATGGAACTCCTTCCCCTTCCATACGGTCTCACGGTCGGAAATGCTCTGTACTGCCCGATCTTGCCATTGCTCGTTGACTAAGGATAGAGGGGTAAGCCCTTTGTCACAAGAACTGACGTCCTTATAGAATGAATCATCCAATCTCGCCAGGCAGTAATTACGGAGGCTGCACACTTTGCGATTATGCATGGTGAACGCGTTTAAAAAGCCACGCCCACCATGCTTCCGCGGCAGGTACAGCCTCATCACCGACGATCTCGGGTGGTGCAACCTATGGGACGTCATAACTTTTCTATCCGGAGCGTTCAGTTCGGTCCGAGTCCACCGGAGTATGTCAAAAGTATACATGAGGACTTTTTGAGGAGTATCTTTTGGAACCAAATGAATGACCCCATTAGTGAAGAGGCTTGGGAGCGACTTCTGGTCGAGAGCATCTTGGAACTGTCGGGTGAGCACAGCGTGACATACCACGAACCCCTTCAGCCAGTAGTGATGCAGTCCGTCGAGCCCCGGCCTTTTCCAGTTCGGAGCCCTTCGGACCGCCTCAGCTACATCGTCCGGCGTTATGATGACGGGGTCCATGGGCGTAATATTCGCACACTGACTCGCCACAACATCCGTCCAAGGGCCCTCACTGTGGTTTACGGGCTCTGAACACAAGCCGCACGAGAATGCGAAAGTGTCGGCCAGATTCGGTGCTGGCACCGTTTCAAGTACCATTGGTCGCTCCAGTGATTTATAAAACCTCTTCTGATCACTCTGAAAGAGACGATTCTGGAGCCGCGTCCATCGCTTGCGGCGCACTCCACCAGCGGCCAGTTGTCGCAGGACGCGCCCCGGCGACCCTCAGGCAGTGGCCCTTTACGCGTTTTCCTTCTTATGTCCATTATCCATATGCACAAACGGGCCTTTGCACCCTCAATTTTGACGAGGCACGGCACTAACAACTCTTGGTAAGGCGCTGACTGACTGCGCCAACTTTGTAGTTCTGTCACTTAACTGCGATCAGCGGGCGATAGGGTTACTTCCCTACGCCTACTAATTATTATTATTATTATACTTTAATATGGCCTACAAGTAACTGTTTCTAGAATGGATGTCTACATTTGTGTTCAAGTATGTAAATCGCATCATAATCAAACTCCTGTGTGTAAAATATGACACACTAATGGTTCTGTATATGTAGTACTTCGTATCCCGCACGGAATATTATTTTTATTAATAAACTTTAATATGACCTAGAAATAATTGTTCTAGGTCTGGATGTCCATATTTGTGTTTAAGTATGTAAATCCTATTGCAATCATACAGGAGAAAACGGAATAAAACTTTCAAACCTACGAAAGAGACATTTCAATTAACACGCGCAAATTTACTTGCATTGCAATTCAAACTGCAAAGAATATCTATGGTTAAAGGATAATGAACGTACGCACAAAGTTTTGAAACACTGTAAGCCATCTCGGTCACACTCATTGAATTGTCACGGGATTTCTACTGGGCATATATCAGCACCTTTATCTTTACTTTTAATTTAAACATTTCTTTTAATTTAAAGGAACTCTACCCGTGACTGGTTGTTGCTGCTGGTAATAAGAGGGCTGGTTCTTTTCTCGCTCAAAGGCTAAGTATAGCCATTCAGCGAGGAAACGCAGCCAGCGTTCTTGGCACGATACCACGGGGATTGGGACTATATGATAATTAAGTTATTAGTTTTAGTTTTTTCTTTTATTATAGTTTTTAATAATATTTTAAAATCATTTATATTATTCATTTTAGACAATCTTGAACTCAATATCTTAGGGTTTTGAAGCCTTTAGCTTCGGCCCGAAATCGACCTTCGGTAGGACACTAATCTAAATCTAATCAATTATTGATTAACACAAAAAGATTTTCCTACACTACCTGGGGACTACTCCATATTTGACGGGACATCCGTGCCATATTAAAAAATTAGATGTACCTTTTGAATTTTTTTCTATTTTGGGCTATAGTGCTAAGCGAGGTAAGTAAGAGGGTGTTTGCGTCGGTCGGGTCTCTCCGTAGATTAAGCAGTTTCCTACCCATACCAAACATAATTACGATAGCACAATCACTCCTTTTACCGATTCTCGATTATGCTGACACGTATTATCTCAATTTAAATAAGTTGCTTAATAAACTTGAGCGCGTTCAGAACCTTTGTTAATATTTGGACTCAGAAAATATGACTATGTTTCCAAATTTCGCAAAAAATTTACAAGTGACTTTCGATCTGACTTCGCAGGAATCACTGACATTCTTTCTCTTTTATAATGTGTTCTATTCAATCCCACTTTTCCAGTTTAATTTAAAGAGCGGTTTGAATTTCTTACTGACACTCACTGTCGCTTCCGTCCCGTAATACTTCCTTTTATTCTAAATCATATTCTACAAACGCTGTTCGGCTCTGTACCAGGTTGATCCAAAAGTAATGATAATCGGTTACTTCAGGTCCGCATAAAATTCCAAAAAAAAATATTTTTTGCTTGCTTATATACTCATTCGTCAGCCTAAAAAAATCATATAAATAGATCACGATTTCCGGGAGATACATTCATTTGAATACGAACTGTCAAAGAGATAACATCAACATGGAGAAAAACGAAATTAGAGCTGTCATCAAGTACCTCTGTTTGAAAAAAATGTCTTCAAAAGACATACACAGTGACTTAGCGGAAACATTGGGGGACTCTGCTCCTCCATATTCTACAGTTGCACGCTGGGCTAAGGAGTTTAAACTAGGCAGAACATCCACTGAAGATGAACATCGCGAAGGACACCCATCCACGTCCCTCACTGAAGACAACGTGAAAAAAGTCGAAGATGTTGTGTTGGCAGATCGAAGAGTGACCATCAGGCATGTAGCTGAGGTCACAGGGATCTCATATGGCAGCGTTCAAAGAATCCTTGCGAACGAGTTGCATATGAAAAAGGTCACTGCGCGTTGGGTACCCAGAATGTTAACCGACAAGCAAAAGAAAAATCGAGTTGACATTTCGAGGGTCAATCTCGAAAAGTTCCAAGCAGATCAAGAAAATTTTTTGTTCCGTTTTGTGACTATGGACGAGACCTGGATCCACCATTTTGATCCTGAAACGAAACAACAATCGATGACTTGGAAGCGAGCCTCCTCACCGACGCCAAAGAAATTCAAAGTTTCAAGTTCGGCGGGAAAGGTTATGGCATCTGTTTTTTGGGACGCTCAAGGCATAATTATGGTGGTATATTTGGAAAAGGGAGCCACTATTACGGGCTCTTACTACGCAGACCAAATAAGAAGATTACGGGAGGCCATTAAGGAAAAAAGACGCGGCAAACTGCGAGCTGGAGTGCTGTTTCACCAAGACAACGCACCGGCTTACAAAGCCGCAGTTGCGATGGCTGCCATTCAAGAAACGGGATTCGAACTGCTCGAACACCCTCCTTCTTCGCCAGATCTAGCTCCTAGTGATTTCTACCTCTTTCCTCGGCTCAAGGAACGCCTCCGAGGCAAGAAATTCGAAGACGATAGCGAAGTAATGGCCGCTGTTGAAGCGTTTTGGGAGGGTCAAGACAAAGAATTTTTTTCAAAGGGAATCCTGGGTTTAGAAAAAAGATGGACTAAATGTATTGATTTGTTAGGAGACTATGTCGAAAAATAAATTATTATTTTAAAATTAATTACCGTGTTTATTTTCATTATCATTACTTTTGGATCACCCCTCGTAACTCCTTACTGCGGTACATTAGACGTGAGCAATCTATTGGAAATTTTAAAAAACTTGTGAATATGCAATTCTTTTCTCCTTAGCTCACGTTGTTTATTAAAATTGCTATGAATAGCTATTGCGTTAAGGCTTTTATTTCCCTTACTTGTTTACTCCTTTATGCTCTTGTAAATATTTTTTGTAACTGTATTGATTATGCATGTCGTGTGTATTTTCAAATAACTTGCCTACATCCTTTCCCTTTCTCACAGGTCATTATATCCTCTGCAATGTGGCAAGGTCTGGCAGAGATAAGGCCTCCAACTGTATCTTTTTATAATTTTCTCTTATTGATCAGTATATTTAAATCATTAATTCATTCGCCTTCCTAATTTACGCATAATGCTAAATATTATGCATTTTTATAGCAATTAATGTGGGGTGAAAAGCCAGGATTTCACAATGCAGGTTGCTACCCATTCTGATGACCATTATACAGGGTTATTTTGCAATAACCAGCTAAATTTGCAGAGAAGGTTCAGAATAAGTGATATAGGCAAATGGTGAAGAAAAATTAATTAAAAAAATCTCAAACATTCTCTCCATTTTATCTTTTAAATTCAAAATCTTTTAAATTTTAACTAATTTTACTGTGCATCGGTAGGCAAAAACGTAAATCATAAATCACTTTCAATTTGGTATAATTTCAAATAAAAGTAGAAGCCTTATTTACTCGTATTTTCAAAAACTGCAATAATGTTATATCATTATTTATATATTTGAACTTAAGTTTAATATTTGGCTACTGTTTCAAAAATAACCCTGTGGAAAATGTTAACTTCACATTTATTTATTGTATTTGAGTTTGGCGGTAATGAAAGTAGTTACAGTGACGTAGTTTTATTATCTTCCGACTGTTCAAAGTGTGAATAAATTTTGATCGACAAGTGGAATGCAAATTATGATGAATTTGAAATTTGCAATGAATATTCATCTCGAAACTACCTTGTATGTAGATGTAAGTTAAGTTTATTTGTGTTTCATACACCTAATAAGAGTAATTTTGAAACCTTTTTATGAAATTAAGTAACATACGCTTTTCTTGTTTGCTCTCTTCCAATAAGCAATAATTGTGGTTGTGTTTCGGTTAGTTCAATAAAAAAAATCTATATGTGTAAATAAAATTACAAATAAATTTACAAAACATAATATACACACAATAATTACTTTACAGTCTTATAAGAATTTCATTATTATGAAAAAATGTTTCTACATCAGCCAGTCATGGGCCTCTTTCATTGTAGGAAGGGTTTGCCATAATCGACACGCTTGGCAGGAGGAGGACTGCAGTACCAGATGTCTCGAACCTTTGACGCTGCACCCAGTTACTGGCCTGGGTATTTATATTTCGCTTTTACAAAATGGTGATACCGTCATCTCTGTCATAACCATGACGTATTTCTGGATTTTACTATAGTTGCCTCTTACTAAAACCAAGGGGCGATTTGTCAATAGATAAAAACTAACCTTCAGTATCCATGTTAAGTTCCCACCACATAAATACCATTTGTGCTTTTCCAGTGGCAATAACTTTAAACTCTTGTTTAACTGTCCTCTTGAAGTCTATAGGTGTTTTACCAGACCAGTCATAATAAAATACAGGTATTTGTTCAGAAAGTTCCCGAAATGCTTGTCGAGGGAGTTGTGATAATTGAATATCATGAACTGCCGCAGATCCTGCACAATCTTTCATCTGAAATTCAAAAGAAAATAAGATTACCTCTGTAAAATAAGATTAAAACTAGATCATAACCACACAAACGTACGGCCGCGCGATTGCTATTTGCGTTAAACGTCCACAACACTAAACATTTTTTATTTCTATCACTCAACAATTCACAATGCTATCTATATGATATTAAGCTGCACTAATTCACATAATAAACGTTTATTTTGATCTTTAAAGGAGTTTTAGATAGTGTACTGTGCAGTTACATAGTGTGTTTGGATACTTTAGTATCCATAAACGTAAGTTGAAATTTTTTCAAATACTTATAGCCACAGATGTTTGAGTGCATTAACAATACTTCTTTAACTCACAATTAAATATAAAACATAGATAGGTAATAAAAGGCCTAGCTTAGATCAATCCTCAGATTATTAAATAGTTTATATTTATACCATGATAGTTTTTTTAAGTTACCCGTAACCAAGTTTTTTTTCTGTACAATCCTTCGGTTGACCCAGGTGGGGCAGCAATCTCCAAGAATTTTTCTGATTGTTTCTCAAATATATCATTTATATATCTTACATGCATTTCTATTCTAAATTTTAAATCATTACATCAAATAGTTTTAAAGAAAGGTGAAAGAGTACATTTTGTTTATTCCCAGAAAGTTGGAAGGAAAAAAATGGACTCATATTTGTTCTGTTCTGCTAATTATGGCACAGAAGGGTTAAAAGATACAAACCTTTTGTGGTGTTTTCAAAATAATATTTAAATCTTCATCAGCTAGATCATTTAATTTATTCCATTTTTGCAACGTAGGGCACTCTACTACTTGTGCATAAATTATTGCAGAATCTGGCACTACTATACAATCTTCTTCCAACAGATACTTATGCGCATGGGAAAATGTGGGTAAGGCACCTAAAACCAATTTGGACTAAGATTAATATGAATGATAAGCAACATGGAATATTAATAACAAGAGGAAGTAGTAAAGCGCAGAATTTGTATTAAAACCAGTGTTGCCAACTTAACAAGAAAAAAGTAGGTACCAACAACTGGACAACACTTCAATAATTTTCAAGTGATTAAGAAACAGATCTTTTATGTTACCCGAGTATGAACTATATAGTTATATATATTATAGGTAGAGATCTAATATCTATTTAATGTAGAATATTTTCAAGATTGAAAAGCAAATTCACGAATTTTGTATGAATGTTAGGTCGAATATCTGAAAATACAATATCTAATATGCATTTTTATTTAATGTTATACATATAGAACAATTAAAATTAAAAAAAATATATAGAGCAACATTTTGTATAAATATACAATGATATAGATACCAAAGAAACTTGTTAAATATAAATTATAGTAATAAATGTAAAAGTAAAAAAGTTAATACTTTACAGTCATTTAGTTGAATTACAGTGAACAAACTCAAATGACATAATGAAACCTATTTTTGTCAATAAGTGAGTTTAATGATTTCTTATTGTGAGTAGAGAGCCATGATAGAATAGAATAGAATAGAATAGAATATTTTTTATTCAATATACATTACATGTGTAATTCTTATTGAAAGTCATTTTTTACTTTACCACTGGTTCGAAAAAAAACCCTCTGTCCTGGGAAGAACCAGCAAGAAACCCAGCGGGACTTTTTTTTAAAAATAAATTTTACAATATGATATGATACAATATGATTACGAACTATTTACAAAATTTATTTTAGAAACTGCTTGGAAGCGATCACCTCATTCCCAGGGGTTATTATCAACCATGTATTCATTTATACTATAATAACCCTTTTTATACAGTTTCAGCTTAATAAAACATTTAAACTTGGTAATAGAGAGAACCTGTACACTTTCCGGGACCTTGTTGTAATAGCGTATACATTGCCCCAAGAATGAATTACTGACTCTGTGGAGTCGAGAAACTGGTATCACTAGCTTGTGTTTGTTCCTAGTGTTTACAGAATGTATATCACTTCTTTTACTAAAACTATCTTTGTTTTTGTGAACATACATTAAATTTTCGTAAATATACTGAGAGGCCAAAGTTAATATATTAATTTCTTTAAATTTATCTCTAAGAGACTCTCTCGGTTTTAGATTGTAAATAGCTCTAATGGCCCTCTTCTGTAAAACAAAAATAGTTTCTGAATCAGCCGCATTTCCCCATAGCAAAATCCCATAAGACATTATGCTATGAAAATAACTAAAATAAACTAATCTAGCTGTCTCGACACTAGTGAGACCTCTAATCTTTTTTACAGCATAGGCTGCAGAACTTAGTCTGCTTGCTAATTTGGATATATGGGGGCCCCACTGGAGCTTTGCGTCAAGAGTGATGCCAAGAAAAACAGTGGATACAACAGGGCTCAATTCCTCCCCATTTAAAAACACATTGGTATTCAGATTTTGAACATTCGTTGTTGTAAATTTAACACAATTAGTTTTATTTCCGTTCAAATGTAGATTATTAACGTTAAACCAATGCACTAATTTTGATATAGCATTATTCACTTCGTCACATTTAGATGATTGACGTTTAAGTTTAAAAATCAAGGAAGTATCATCAGCAAATAATACTATATCATGACTATCCCCTACAAGGTGAGGTAAGTCATTAATATACACCAGAAACAGGAATGGGCCGAGAATCGAGCCCTGAGGTACACCCATTAGTACAGGTGACCCGGAAGAACTTTTACCATTGATAATAACCTTTTGTTTTCTATTACTTAAATATGAAATAATAAGTTTAAGCGCTGTGTTCTTGACACCATAGTACTGTAGCTTCCTGATTAATGTCTCATGGTGAACACAGTCGAAGGCCTTGGAAAGGTCACAAAATATACCCAAAGCATCCTCTGAATTCTCCCATGCACAAACAATATGTTTAATAAGCTCAACTCCAGCATCAGTTGTCGAGCGACCCCTTGTAAAACCGAATTGATTATTATGTAGCAATTTATTAATATTAAAGAAACTTAACATCTGATCTAAAATAATTTTTTCAAAAATTTTACTTAATGTTGGTAGTACAGAAATTGGTCTAAAATTGGCGGGGTCTAATGTACTACCAGATTTAAATATAGGTATGACTTTACTATGTTTCATTAAATCAGGAAACACACCAGATTCGACGCTCATATTAAATATAGTGGCTAGATAAGGTGCTAATATATCGATTATAGATAAAACAACTATAACGGAAATCCCCCATAAGTCTGCCGTTTTCTTAACATCAATAGTTTTAAAATATTTAACGATATCTTTTGGCAGTACCCTATGGAATTTAAAAGTATTTGAACAAGCCTTTACATTTTGTTTGAGCAATGATTCGGCGACAGTAGGAGAAGAATTTAATGATTTTGTTGTCAAAAAAGGAACATCAGTAAAATGTTTTTCAAAAGCCATAGCAACTTCTTGATCAGATCGCGTTAAATTATTGTTAATATTCAATTGAAAATCCGAGTTGCGCGGTTTGACCTTGCCCGTTTCACTATTTATTATTCTCCAGGTCATTTTAATTTTGTCGGATGCAGTTTTAATTTTGTTGCTTAAATGTATAGCTATAGCTATAGATAGCTCAGGGGCTAAGTGCTCGCTGTGAATCTCACTGTATGTGAGCAACCCGGGTTTGATAACCGCCTAGTGAAATTGTTAATTGCAATTTTAAATGCTGAATTACCACTTGCTCGATGGTGAAAGAAAACATTGGGAAGAAACCTGAATGTCTGATAAATAAGAAAAAAAAACTTCTAAGATATGTAAAGTAAAAATCTTTTTTATAAATAAAGTGATTTTTTTATATTTACGTGAACACTGCACATTATGTGAAACTAATGTAAACGAATTTTGTCGCATATTTTAATCTTTTTAATTTCCCGAATTTAGTGGGGGAACTGAGGTGTTTGACGTCCGTCATAGTAAGCCAGGCTACATTCAGTTTATGAATATTAATTTTTGGTCCAATCTACACAGAATGAGCTTACAGTGTCTTGAAGTCTATGCTTGGGTTTGGATTAAATTTTAGTAATCATAGCTTTCCAAGCAGCACCCATCCTTCTTCTGCATTGAAATTAGGATGTTATTTAATTTCAATAGCCTCGCGAATCATTCTTGGCAGGAAGGAATCAGTGCTCTTTTGGGAAGATTTATAGTCTATCAAATCCAATGTAATGGCAGGGATGATCTTGAATATGTTCACAGACTACAGACTTCTCAGAGAGTCAGTGCCTCATGTCGTTAATTATAAAATTCAATGCTAACATGCTGAGAAAATTTGTTGAATTGTAATCATAAGAAATACCTTCACCAATCAATTCTGTATCAAATACTTCTGTCACTAGAATATTTGCCTTCTCCTTCATATCACCGTCTTCACCAACAGTTATATCCGTGGAGCGTTTAGGAATGACTGTAATTTTATCAGCTACACCATTACGCTCCAATATTTTAAGACAACATTCAGCCATTGGTTTAAATGCTTCACATGCAATAATAGAGTCTGCCCCACATTTTGCTGCCATTATTGAAAGAAGGCCTGTTCCCGTACCTGAAGAGCAAAAATATTATTATTATTAATAGTCCCTATTGATCCAAGACTGCCTCGTTGGTTGATGGCTAATGATCTTAAGTGCAACTGCTAACCAAGTGGTCCTGGGTTCCAATCTCATGTCAGGCCAAAAATCTGTTATTTTGATTGTGAGCAGCCCAGACTTAGGAAGTTAACAGTGTTTAACTTCCGTACATCAAACATAAAGTCGCTCTTGTTCCTGATCTCTTTTTATCAAGGGTGACAAACTATCACACAGTCCACCTAAAAGTAGGTGGACTTTGATTCTTAGACATTTACATCTATCCTCAATTAAAAATCAAAATGCAGATGCAGTGTCACCCCTGAGGACTAAGATAGAATGCCTCTTTTCAAGTAAAAAAGTTCTCAGGTGCTCAATTGTCATTACACAAAACATAGTAGCATTAAGCTATTATTTTACTTTATAATCTAAAAACATAACAAGAAGCAAACATAAAAAGAAAACGAGAGGCGGTCTTATTGCTGTATAGAAATTCCTTCCAGACAACCTACAAAAAGAAAATAAAAAAGAAGAGAAAAATTAATAGATAGGGTACACTATAAATAATATTATAATTTAAAATATGAACTAAAAAGATAACAGGTACTTAAAATGACAGACTAAGGATTATAAAATGACAAGAATGGATAAAAGTAGGATGGTGAAATTAGAATGAACAATAATGTTTTTTAACTGTATAGTGAATCTACTGTTTGAGCATGTTTAATATCTATTAACATAGTTATATGTCAATCAATGTTTTCTAACAATAAAAAAATTCAAAACTTGACTCCAAGAACTAAAAAATATTTTTCTAAAATATGGGGCAATTTAAATGTGGTAGAGCCATGCTGTAGCTATATGAATTATATAGTTGTAGCACAAATGGGTCAGCTCGATCGAGGAAGGACCACACTTTCACTGAATACCAGTGTAAAATAGCAAAAATAGCAGCTCAATGCTGCTGTGTTTCTTATGGTGAGTGTGGAGAACCTGAAGCCCTTGTTACCGTAAACGAGGCATTCCATCTTAGTCCTCAGGGGTGACAACGCAAATTGCATTTTGATTCTTAATCAATGATAAATGTAGATGTCTATGGGCCACAGTATCCACTGAGAATCTGGTTCACTGTGTATTCATTTCTCACCCTTACTCTATTAAAAAAAAACATTAAAGGAAAAGGTTTTCTCTGGACCGAAGTCTCTGTTTAGATTGGCCGCCGCAACCTAAATTCGGTCTAGAGGATATTATTGAACCAAGTTCAACGCCAATATTGATATCACTGAAATTACAAAAAGCTATTTTATGAATAAAAGTACAGTGAAAAAATAGACAGCATTGCAGCTAGCAATCAAAACTATATCTAATACAAACAAAAATATAAAATTCCAATTACCTATATCCAAAACATTAGCTTTCTTTCCATCAATATGCATTTTTTCAATAGCCAGTTGTAAAGCTCTGTAGTATTTTTTATTTCTTTCTGAGTCATGAAGCATATCTGCGAAAGCGGATCGTGCGATCTCTTGATGATAGTCGTAATCTTCATGTTGAACATCCCATTCGGTGCTACCGGTTATAGGATTACGCTTTTGAGTAAAGACTTGCATTATGTTCTTCGGCCCACAATTAGTTCTAGTAAATTAAAAATATCATGCATTTCACAGAACACAGATTGAACAAAGTTAAATCTTTAAAGTGCTACGAGTTTATATACCTTTTCAATGGTGAAACGAAAGCAAATCTAAATAATCTAAATTTAATGTATCCCTGCAAAAACGTAAACATAACCAACATAGACCATAGATCACAGAGTACCTTTATATCAAAGACAAAGAGAATATAACCACTACGTTTAATCATAGAGATATATACCTACTAAGTCAGTGCATTATATATACTATATCTTCTATTACAGCCAGCAGCCAGTACACACTCAATCTCGAACGCAATCGGTGATCAAAATCAATGATCGCGATCCAGATTGATAATGTACGAATTAGATTGATGGATTGATGCATCTGATCACAAAATATCTAGATATTTTGAAATCAAGATCGCAATCCGCTGATCGTGATCTAGATTGAACGTGTAAGCGCAGAATCGCATCAGTCTCACTGTGCGCTTCAATGAAAATGGGTGTCGATGACACGCGCTCCCCGTCGCCGCCCATTGAATCGGCAAATTCACCTTCGTTACCTCAATTTTTTAACCAGAAGATTTCATCATACTTTTGGAAACTTCAGCAGAGCAATGGATTCCCCAGCATAAATATAAACAAATAATATAAATATAATAAAAAATATATGGAGTTATCATTTGTAGTAACTCATCGAAACATTTTTCCCCTATCCTGAAGTAGTTTTTATAATCATCAATTTCAGCAGTTAGTTGAATTTATTTTAGTAGATTTAAGCGAGAGTACATTTCTCTCTTAAGTAGCCACTGTTTAACCCACTGCCTTTTTTGAATCCTTTTCTTTAAAGTAAGGACCAAACAAGTGATACTACAGCTTTAACCTCATGTAAATTCATGACCACAGAGTACTTTTTAATATGACAAGACAACAGACGTTGTTATCGCGGCGGTTACGATACACGGACTGAAGAAATCAAGATTGAACGTGAAATGTTGTGATACGATCCCGTGATCCATGACCGCGATCAGAACTGTGTGATTGCAATCGAGAGTGAGGGTGTAAGGGCTGCCTAACACTTACAGGCAGTAATCTATGATATATACTGAAACCATAGATAAATAAATTCACAGGCACAGACTAGTATATATTATAAGCACAGAACACTATTACCACAAAATAAAGATTATAGCAAAGAGTATAGTAACTGTCCTATACAGGAACCACAAACCAAAAGAACCAAAAAGAAGTGCTATAGTGCGCGCAAGATACCTCTGCGCCCGACTGATGGCATACTTAATGTTACCAGCTTAACTAATATTTTTTTCCTTCATTTAATCTTATTACTAGAATTATATAATTATATCGAATTAGATAAATGACCGAATTGATTACCAATTAAAAAAACTGTAAATTTCAGCTTAAACTTACAAAGACCTAATAAATATAAACCTTATATTTATTGTTTAAAATTCGCATAATAAATATATTTCTTAATTGTAACTTCCTTAAGTTTGACACTACAATCCACAAGATTTAAGTTAAATTAAATTATTCCTTAAAAACATTTAAAAACGTTTAATTTATGCGAGCGAGTTGGAGAAAAAAACTAAAAAAAACACACTTCACTTTTATTTTTGGTATTCTTCTCAGCAAACCCTTTTATTTGAAACCCATATCATGGGAATACACAAAAAATAAGTAGTTCTCCATGTTTGGGAGTCCGCTATATTGGATTTAGAATGACGTCACTTATTTTCATCTAAACTTAACGTATATGCAAAATTTCCGCTCCATCGAAAACCTAAAAAATGGTCTTTAACTTCCAATTTTTTTTGGATAATTATAGGTGAAGATATTGTATGCGTGTTAGAAATTACTATTATTATGACTAATAAACACTAATATTTTGTCGATAATGAATTTTTCAAAAAAGGTATTTTAAAAATATTTATTAGAAAGAACGAAATTAAAAGTCCATGGAAACCTTGTAAATCTTTTATTGAATACCTAGATCTATTTGTAAATTTGGTGTAACAATGGTCCTGCAGTGGGCCAACGCCTTCCATTCCCACATCTTGATCAGAATCCATACTAGAGGCTTCATCAGAATGCTCGGATGTGTCGCCTGTGACATTAAATAATAAATTTATTACTTTTAGTTTAAACTAAAACTAAAACGTAATAAAAACAATGCATTATAAATACGTGATATTAATGACACGAGGAAACTAAAAATGAACAAATCGAGAAAATTAGGGAGTTTTATTTATTATGGCAGCCCTAAAAATTACTTGTGAAATATGTAACGTGGGCTCTAACTTTGGAAAACGGTACTGTAGGCCCGTTATTGTCTCGTTCTTCTTCACAAGCACGTTTGACCTTTGAGATAATATCCCTGCCAGCAATTTTAATCACTTTCGGCATAATGATGACGATTATTTACTGCAAAAAAGAATAAAAACACGACACCTAACACTCTGTTTTGACACCTGCCATAAACAGTAAGATGGCGGCACACGGTTAGTTCCAGTTTTGACCGCGCGTTTTCGATTTATCTTGCGCGCACTTTAGCGTAACGTGTAGTGTTTTGCTACTTACATATCATTTTACATTATTTTAAATTCATTTTTCCATTCTGTTTCGATTTTCTGCATTCACCTCAAAACTGGATATTTTACATCACCTTTATTTCCATAGGATCCTGTAACGATTTTAAACCATAAGAACACAATAACAAATCATTTCTACTTCGTATTTTCACATTATCAGCACTTTTAAATTGGTGTCAATGGAGTCTACCTTTTTTCGATCTTTTAGCTAGTTTTCCGTAACTCTACAATCTTGGGCTTTGTGTGGGCAGCTGCGCTACCTTTTTTCCTATATCAATAATATCTCATTTTCCACTTAAATCTTACCGTTTTCTTATTATAAACCTAAAACCAAAATTTGACATGTTTTGATATTGTTATTTATTTCGTTGCTATAGTAATTATATTCAAATTTGCTACCGATCTGTTGTTCCTATTTCGATAATTCCACATAAATACTTTTTTCTCTTGACCATTTACAAAAAATTTGCGTTTAATTTAAATAATTTTTCCGTTCTCTCTAGAAAGGTATAAAAGCCGAACAATCGGTGAAGAAAGGCAGTCTCGCTTCAATTCGCGAATTGGAAGTATCTCCTAAAGGCCTTATCCCGGGGCCGCACTGCCCCGGGATCCTGCAAGCCTCCACCTACACGTGAAGTCTTCGGCGAAGCCTTCTTCAAACGCGGAGCCGCACCACTCCGGATTCCTACAAGCCTCCATCTACCTCGGAAGTCGCTTCGAGACTACTACAAGCGCGGGGGCCACACTACTCCGGGCGCTACGACTACTTACTCCAGGCGCCGAGTGCACCTACCGCCGGCGCTACCTTTGGGCGCTGCAACTGCTGGCTCTAAGCGTTGAGCGCACCTACTCCAGGCGCTACGTGCGCCGGCTCCGGACGCTGCGTGTGCTGGGTCCAGGCGTTGCGTGCCGTCGCTACTAAGAAACTTACCTCTACAAGCGCAACCGGCGTGTGCTGGCTTCAGGCGCTGCGTGTCGTCGCTGCTAAGAAACCTACCTCTACAATCGCAACGTGTGTCGCTTCGACTTTTAGGCCCCACTACATCTCTTTATTCCCCTATTCTCCTACCTTTATATTTTTTTTTGTAATCTAATTGTACTCTCACTTCATTCATCATCATCCTCATTTCATTTTTTTTATAAAATTGTAAATATCTTTGAATTTTGAATATATTTCTGTTTTTGTTGTATTTTTGTTGTTTTGTTGTTCTTAGGTTAGATTCTTTTTGATATATTATTGTCGCTTCACGACATTTGGCGCCCAACGTAAAAGTCCTCTTTCTCTCTTAATTCTTCACCTTTACTGCGCCTTGTCCATTCCCTTTTGATTTAATTGCTCTCCCTTTCGTTCTTAACTCTTTATTTATTCATCCTTTTCATATCTTCCAAATTCTAAAACAACACTTCATCTAGTGTTTCAACGTATCTGGCTTATATTTAGACCCACATTTAACACTTCACTTACATTCATCACTTTAATATTTTTATTCTAGAACAAAACTTCATCTAGTTTTTCAACTTATCTAGATTATATTTAGACCTACATTTAACACTTTACTTACATCCACCACTTTAATATTTTTATTCTAGGTAACTTAAAGAGGTATAACTTTTCAATTAAATCTTTATTTCTTAAACTTAACTTTGAACTTTACACTTTATATAAAATTGTTTTTCAAAGCTGAAGCGAGACGATTCATAACTTTTCTAAGCATTTACTAACTGTTAATTTGTATATATGTATAAATATCTAAACATTTATTAACTGCTAATTTGTATATATGTATAAATATCACATTTATTTTGTATATATGTATAAATATCACCATCATTTTCACCTTGTTATTATTTCTTTTAATTTGTTTGTTTGTTTGGTAGGTTAATCTTCACTTCTTATTATTTCAGACACATCTCGCTAGTGATGTTGCTGATCTCTGGCTTTGAGCCCTACCGCTCTGGCCGTTCTTTATCTTTACTTAAGTCATAGCGACTAAAGCTTGCTTAAGATTGATTTCTTTATCTTTATCTTCACGCAGGAGCGGATGACAACTCCTTAAATAAGCCTGAATGTCCTTTCGAAAACACACTTTTAGAGTGGTGACTACTTCCTTAATAATTTTTTTTTTCCACGCAGGAGCGGATGACAACTCCTTAAATAAGCCTGAATGTCCTTTCGAAAACACACTTTTAGAGTGGTAGTCATTGAATGTGAACTCCACCCTTACCTGAATGGCAGATGATGAATGTAAGAGATGGTATATCTGATTTTGCCTGGTGATGTCTGTTTCTGCAAAGCTGTGTTTTTATGGTTTATTTTAGAATGTATACAGGGTATTTTTGGAACGCTCCCGAAAACTAAGAC